AAAAAAAAAAAAAAAAAATAATAATAATAATAATCCTAGGTCCAAATTATTAAGAGTATAAAATGAATAAGATCTAATGAATCTTGATAACAAAATATAGATTAAACAAAAAATGAAAACATTGTTAAATTTTATAAGCCGGTAAGCATTGAATCAAAGAAGAAAAAGAGAGAGAGAAAGTATATGTTCAAGTCATTTTAGGATACATATTATAGAGAAAGGGATAGAATATTGGGATATTCAACAGAAAATTGTGGACGGGGAAGAAGTTTGAGACATGGTGAAATAGAATAAAGGGTCCATTCTGTATCAAAAAAAAAAAAAAATGATAAAGTGGAAAGAAAAAATGCACAGTGAAAAAATTTCAAGAAGAAAAGAAAAAGATGAAATTTAGTTTATGGTGTATTTATTAAAACTCAGAATTCTTCTTTTATTTATTTATTATTATTATGAATATAAGATTGTAAATTTTTTGTGGTGTATTTATTAAAATTATGTTTTAATTGTGGTGTAATAAATAAATATTGTGTTGGTAATATAATTGCTATGGCATCGCACTAAAAATTGTACTATGCTTGATGTGTCGTTGGAGCAACTTTTACACTTTGATGTTTACACCAGATATAACATCTCATTAAAGATGCAAATCTTTTTAATTCAAATTTTAATGAATTTAAAAATAGATCAATAGGCCTATAATCTTGCCACGTCGCGGTCAGGCATGAACCAGCCCAAACAAGTAAAGAATCCTTCCATGGAGGAAATATCCAGAAGATGCCTGAAATAAAGAGCTTTAAAGAAATCTCCGAGAGCCAATCTCCCATAATGCCTCTCAGTTATCACAGATTCCCACTCTCTCTCCACCATCACTAGATTCATCACCACCCTTTCCTCTGCCCCTCTGCCACCCCCGTCGTCGGTAAACTTTTCCTCAGCATGTCCATGTTGTCATCGGCGCCATCATCACCACCGGAATCACTCGCTAGGCCCCAAGAAAAAGAAGAGCTCTTAAGCCATGTGTTGAAGTACCATAACCAAACTAAACACTCCTTCACCAACTATGCCCATGGCCCCCATGGTCTTGACTGGGCTAACCAACCCAATCCCTTCCGCCACTACGTAACCGCCCCGCTCCTGTCCCTTCTCCACCCCGAAAATGACCAGAATTGCCCCCCCTATTTCGTCGTCTTCAATTCTCTCCCATCTCTAGAACCTATTTCTAAAACCACAATTTCTCAATTTTTCTACAATTCCCTGGCTTTATCTGCGTGGAAAAGTACTGGCTTTTCCACTTGGTCGTTACGTGTAAACCCAAGCAGTGGAAATCTTCATCCTACAGAGGCATATATCATTTCGCCTCCTGTAGATTCCTTATCGAAACACGCTTTTGTCGCACACTATGCGCCAAAAGAGCACGCGTTGGAATTAAGAGCGCAAATCCCATCCGACTTTTTCAAGAGATTCTTCCCCGATAATTCTTTTCTGATCGGATTTTCCTCAATTTTTTGGCGGGAAGCTTGGAAGTACGGCGAAAGGGCCTTTAGGTATTGTAATTCATATTTTCCGATGATTCCCAACTCAGTCTTCAAAAATATATTCGTCGGATATGATGGGGAACATCCCGAGGATTTGGAAAATATCCTCGACTTCTCTCCTAATCATACCATGACGTCGGGCATTTGAGTCCTTGATATTCAATGTCCTCATCCTTTTTTCTTCAACGATACCACATCCTCCTACGAACAGTGACATGTAACACTTGATACCCCACAAGACTTCTACATACAAGAGGAGTTTATTATTGTTAGACTTGCACTGATCCCACACTTGTTATGCATGTCAAACATCAACCTTCGATAGGACTCTATGAGATAAAGATTCCCCAATTGTTCAATCCTAATAGGATTCAACCACCTAACACTATAAATATATGGTTTTACCTCATCATTCAGGTACTATTTTTTATGCAATTTTCAGTCCATAGCCTCACGCACATATTCTAACTTAAGTATTGGAGGGGCGACGAGGACACACCTCGACGCCTTTGTTTCAAGTACCGGAAGAACACGTTCGTGCTCGCCACCAGTCGTCCAGCTCGAAATTGCTCAGGTACGATTTTTGGTAGCATCATTGGCACCGTTTGTAGGAAACGCTACCAAAAGCCATAGTAAACACACGTTCAGATCTTTTACCAGCAAGCTCATCCGCTCCAAATCAACCTCCTCCTGAGGATATCCCTATTCCTCAAGAGGAATCATCAGAAGTGCCAGAGCCTCAGCCGGCAATCGTCACTACCGGGGCCTTTGAAGAGCTCAAACAACAGGTCGCCACATTGACTCAACTGCTAAGTCAAAGAAATTCGCATCCGGCACCCTAGGGGGATTTTATGGCTGATGCTCGAGCTCGAGCTCAGCGACATGTCACTGATAATGGCGGAGCAGGGGCCTCGGGCATACCACATGTGACCTCGGCCTCGAGATCAGTAACCATGAAATCCGGGGAACTCCCTAGGATTATTCAAGAAGGAATTATGGCGGGCCTACTTCAAGGCAACAAAGGGTCAACAAGATTTAGTCCCAACACTCCTTTTACTCCCGGGATATTGACATTCTCCCTGCCAGACAGATTCAAGTATCCTAGGATAAAAGAGTATGATGGGACTACCGATCCAATCAACCATCTTAACGTATACACCGACGTCATGAACCTACAGGTTGTATCGGATCAGGTGATGTGCAAGGCCTTCTCGCAAACTTTGATGAATGCTGTTAGGGATTAGTTCTCGACCTTAGAGCCCAACTCAGTAGCCTCATTCTCGAATTTAGCAGACAAGTTCTCCGCCTTCTTCACAAGCAGTAAACGCATCAGGAAAACGGTAGCCTCCCTCATGCAACTTTGACAGGGACAAAATGAGATCCTACGCGAATTCATGACCAGGTTCAACAAGGAAATGCTACAAATTCCCGACCTTCATATAACGGCAGCAGTTTCTGCCCTCACATATGCCATAAAGTGTGAGGCTTTCAAAATGTCACTATCCAAAACTCCGCTGAAGACAGTGATCGAGCTTCTTACCCGAGGAGAGAAGTACATAAATATAGAGGAAACACTGAACCCGAGGAAGGTTGGACCATCCCATGATAGGGTCGAGCATAAACGACCGCATGACCCAAGCCCCCGTCAAGAACCACCTCGGAGTAAACAGAGGCAGGAGGCTCCCCCAACGTCATTCGTTTAAATACATCGAAAACAAATATTTTGATAGAGATCAAGGACATGAAGGAGCTCAAATGGCCTGCAAGAATGAGGTCACCACCCCAGTCCAGGGACATGAGCAAATACTGTGAGTTCCATCGGGATCAAGGGCATACCACAGAAAACTGTAAAGCCCTGCAACGGGAGATTGAAGCCCTTATTAAAATGGGACTTCTAAGTTCCTACGTCGGTAATGATAAACGTCCGAAAAATGATGGTGGTAGGAAAAGAGCTTCGGAAGCAAAAAGGGATGGTCAACCCGCTGTTCGCTAAATATTTCTTTCGATTTAAATTACCGCAAGTGTACGGGTCGTGACAAGTAAAAAATGGACTTTAGAAGTCCGAGTATCGTCCCACAGAGAAAGAGTAGTTCAATTTTACTTATTTTAGCCTTAATCGAAACTAATTGAGTTGAAATGAATTTTGGAATCAAAAACCCTAATTTTGGGAGAAATCCCCAAATTGAAAAACCCTAATTTCAAATCAAACCCTAATTACTTAAATTCACTTAACTAATAACTCAATTACGAAATGTTATGAAAAATTAAATGAAATGTATTGTCAATTTAAGAAAGTCTATGTAAAACGAACGCACTAGGATCACGAATCCCCAAATAATTATTGATTAAACCCTAATTTCACAATTTTGATAATTCAATAAGAATGTGATAAATCAATGCTCCTAAATCTATTCAATACTCTCTCTCGAGATGTATTGAACCTATTCTCATAAATCATCAACCTATATCTCTATGATGGATGCAATTTTACAAGAACGCATATAATCGTTTTGTGAGCAATTAAAGATTTACATAGGGGTATATTTCTATCCCCTATCGGACCCTATGATGAATTATATATGTCGAGTCTAATCTAATTTTCTCAAATTCAGAATTAAACCACCAAATTCACACAAATCAAGTGCACATTAATTGTGAAAATAAATAAACCAATATAATCCATTCAAATATCCATCAAACTAATAATTCAAAATCATGAAATAGCAAGTTTAATAAAAATTACATGGTTCATCGATCACCTAGTTGCAAAAATCTAGCCTATCGTGATAAAAATAATGAAAACTAACAAAATATGAATAAAATACATCACCGGGTTATCAAAGATTGAAGAAATCTCGTAAATCTCGCATCAATTGCTTGTTCTTGCCTTCAATTCCACTCCAAGATGAATGTTTTTGCCTCCCAAGTCGTTCGTACCGCTTCTGGACGTCTTGTTGCTATTTAAACCCGTCCAAATCAGGTTACCAAAGGAGTTGCAATCATATAAAGAAAGTGCAAAATTCAGGAAAATTTATACCTATGCGACTGCATAGGCATAACCTATGCGACCGCATAGGTTTAAGAAAAACGCCCTTTTTAATCCCTGGTGGTTCACTCGCCGTCTCATAGCTTTTATACTATGCGACCGCATAGTAGAGCTACTTTCTTGTTTGAGTCATTTTGGTCCTCAATTTTCATTCCTTCACTCCTTGACCTCGTCTCTTGTTCCTAGTTGCTCCAATGTTCCCTTATAACTTCCAATTGGTGCTTAGCTTGATCAATTGCTTGATATGTTTATCGGGTCAACTTTCAGACAATTGCAATTTGGTCCCTGAATATTCATTTTGCTCCAATTTGGTCCTTTTCGGTTCTTTTCTCCTGAATTCCACTATTTCCATAAAATTTCCTACATTGCATGAATTTGACAAAGTTAAGTAACAATTCAATCATTTTACTTGTATTTAAATCATGTTTGTGATGTAAATAAGTGTGCAAAAACACACTTATCACCCGCTGCTGGAATCATCAACATCATTGTCGGGGGTATTGCATCAGGAGGAGATTCGAACACTGGGCGGAAGCAGTATGCCCGGCAATACATGACAACCTCAAAAGCACATCATGGTGACCTCGAGGACATAACATTTGGTATGAAGGATCTAGAGGGCGTATCTTTTCCTCATGATGATGCCCTAGTCATCTCTGCAATAGTAGCAAACTTTGAGGTAAAGAGGATCTTAATCGACAATGGGAGTGCCGCTAACATATTGTCACATGAAGCCTTCACAAAAATGGGAATCTCTCCCGAACAGTTGAAGACAGTGAAAACCCCCCTTCAAGGATTCAGAGGGGTATTATTATTCCGGAGGGAGTGGTCGAGCTGCCTCTTACCTTAGGCTCGGGTAAAGAACAGGTAACGGTGATTACATCTTTTTAGATTGTCCGATCATCCATGGCATACAACGTAATCCTGGGTAGACCATTGCTTAATAAGGTAAAAGCTATTGTGTCCACCTTCCACCTCGCCATGAAGTTCCCCACCAGTCATGGCGTCGGGGTAGTACGCGAAAACCAAGCTGCTGCCAGACAGTGCTATGTTACTTGTGTTCAGGAAATAAAGATGGACATCATGCAAGTCTCAGAAAAGGAGGAAGAGCTCGAGCATAGGGGGAGACTCGCTCCAGTGGAGGAGTTGCTGGAGATAGAGCTCAAGCAAGGAAAGAAAGTAACGGTTGGTCGAGATCTAAATACGGCCCTCATGACCGAACTTATTGACTGCTTATCTCGCAACATTGATGTCTTCGCATGGAAGGTGGAGGATATGCTTGGCATCGACCCCGAGGTTGTAGTACACAGGCTCAACACTAAGCCCGAGACTCATCCAGTTAAGCAAAGAAAGAGGCAGTTTGCACCGGAACGACGACGGGTCATAAAGGAAGAAATTAATAAATTGATCAGGGCTCAGTTCATCCGCGAGGTCAATTATCTTGACTGGCTCGCCAATGTCATCCTGGTAAAAAAGGCTTATGGTAAATGGAGAGTCTGCATCGATTTTACAGACCTCAATAAAGCATGCCCAAAAGACAGCTACCCCTTACCTCGAATCGACGATTTGGTGGATAGTACGTCGGGACACAAATTATACAGTTTTTTGGATGCATTCTCAGGTTACCATCAAATTCTTATGGCCGAGGAAGACCAAGAGAAGACATCATTCATGGCCGATTCTGCCATATATTGCTATAAGGTCATGCCGTTCGGTTTGAAAAATGCAGGAGCAACATATCAAAGACTTGTCAATAAAGTTTTTGCAGGAATGATCGGGAGAAATATTGAGGCCTACGTCGATGACATGGTTGTAAAGAGCAAACAAGTGGGCAACCATGTATTAGACCTTGAGGAGGTGTTCGCCACGCTGTGTAAGTATAGAATGAAGCTGAATCCGAAAAAATGCGCATTTGGCGTTGCCTCGGGAAAGTTCTTGGGTTTTATGATCACTCACAGGGAAATCGAAGCCAACCCAGACAAAATACGGGCGTTGGCATCAATGGAGCCACCTACAACCAAGAAGGATGTCCAAAAATTAACAGGCCGTGCTGCTGCCCTCAACAGGTTTATGTCCCGAGCAGCAGACAAATGCTTCCCCTTCTTCAAAGTCCTCAGGGGAAACCAAAATTTTGAATGGGATGAGGAATGTGAAAGGGCTTTTCACGAACTTAAGGAAACGCTGGCATCCCATCCTATCCTCACTAAACCCGAGCATGGTGATACTTTGTATTTATACTTGGCCGTATCCCAGAATGCAGTAAGCGGTGTGCTAGTGAAAGAAGTTAACAAAGCCCAGCAACCCATATACTATGTCAGTAAGGTCTTGCTCGATGCAGAGACCAGATATACTTTGGCAGAACAGCTTGCTCTTGCATTGGTTGTGGCAGCACGGAAGTTCAGACAATATTTTCAGTCTCACCCCATAGTTGTGCTCACTAATCAACCCCTTAAGCATATTACAAAAACCCAACGTTTCCGGCAGGTTACTAAAGTGGGCAATTGAACTAGGAGAATTTGACATCGAGTATAAATCCCGACCATCTATCAAGGCGTAGGCCTTGGCTAACTTTATTGTAGAACTCACCCCAAGGCCTCGGGGGCCAGGGGATAACTCAGACAATCATATTTCAGACACTTGGAACATCTTTGTTGATGGAGCATCCAATTCGTCAGGTTCCAGAGTCGGGGTTATCATCACGAGCCCTGACAAACTCGTGGATATTCAATGCGCACTCAGGTTTGAGTTTGAAGCTACCAACAACGAGGCCGAATATGAGGCCGTCATCATCGCCCTTGAGCTTGCCCGAAATCTTGAGCTCGAGCATATCAAAATTTTCAGCGATTCTCAGCTTGTGGTCGGCCAGATAGAAGATACGTTTGAAAGGAAGGAGGAGAAGATGAGTTTGTACTGTCTAAAAGTCCATGATCTCCAGCGACAATTCAAGAGTTGCGAAATCATAAAAATTCCTCGGGCTGATAATGGTAAAGCTGATGCATTATCTAGATTGGTATTCATGGGGATCGATGGGCTAGAGAGGATAGTCCACGTGAAATTGGTAATGGAGCCTAGTATCACTCAGGGAGTTGGAGTCATGGACATTGATCATGAGCCATCATGGATGGACCCAATTGCAGAGTTCATAAATAATGGAAATCTACCTGAGGACCCCTGATTGTCGAGGAGTATAAGATCTCGAGCATCTAGGTACTGCATGATTGGAGGAGTACTATTCCGAAGAAGTTTCACACTTCCATATCTCAGATGCCTTAAACCCTCAGAATCATCCCGAGCTCTAGCTGAAGTTCATGAAGGTCTATGTGGGAACCACCAAGGAGTTCGGGCCTTGGCCTTCAAGCTTATAAGGTATGGGTACTACTAGCCCACCATGAAGAAAGATGCCTTGGAATATGTCAGAAAATGCGACAAATGCCAGAGGTTTGCCAACATCATCCATTCTCCAGCTGAGGACCTCACAACCCTAACATGTTCGGCCCCTTTTGAACAGTGGGGAATTGATATCCTTGGGCCTTTTCCAGTGGCAAGTGGACAATTAAAATTCGTGGCAGTGGCAGTAGAATACTTCACGAAGTGGGCAGAAGCAGAACCTTTGGCAACAGTTTCGGAGCCTAAACTTAGAGCTTTTGTGTGAAAATCCATTGTTTGTAGGTTTGGGATACCAAAGGTCCTCATAACTGATAATGGACGACAATTTGATAATGCACAATTCAGAAGTTTTTGCACCAACCTAGGGATTGACCATCGACTCACATCAGTTTCGCACCCTCAGAGCAATGGCCTAGCCGAGGCACGAATCGAATTATATTGCAAGACCTCCAGACAAGACTCGGGGATGCCAAAGGTTCTTGGTCCAACGAGCTATCCTCATTACTCTGGACATATAGAACTTCACATAAAACTACGACAGGTGAAACCCCCTTCATGCTAGCATTTGGCATGGAGGCCACAATCCTAGTTGAAATCAGTTTTCCCAGCCTAAGGAGAATGATGCCCGACTCTGTGGAACGTACGACAGAACATTTGGACCTCCTTGAGGAGGTTCGCGAACAAGCAGCACTAAGAGTAGCCTCTTACCAAAGCAGGGTGGCAAGGCATTTTAATAACCAGGTCAGATCTTGGAAGTTCAGGGCTGGAGACCTCGTGCTGAGGAAGGCCGAAGCTGCTGGTCATGCTCCCGAAAAGCTCGGGCCAATTTGGGAAGGACCATTCGAAGTCATACGGCAAATCAGAGGAGGGTCTTACAGCCTAAAGGATACCTCGGATAGACCTCTTCCAAGGCCTTGGAATGCCGACAATCTGAAAATATATTACAAGTAACATTCTCGATGTCATCTAGGAGATTTTCTTTTTTTTAGTTCTTCTAAATATTATTTTTGGTTCTTCGGGCCTGCGTGCCCTTGCATTTTATTTCTAGTTTGACGGGCCTGCATGCCCATGCATATTTTTCGTTTTCTTTTGTAATGAACTACATTCAGCTTGATCCCGTTTGGGTACGTAGGTAGCTTGGATACAATATAAATCCAAGTCCAGTCCGAAGAATTAAAAAATTCAAACCTCGGGTATAACAACCCTATCATTTGCTTTGCATCCAGGAATTACCTAAGCCTTGTCCTCGACAAGCAATATAAGCCTTGCCCTCGAGCAAGCACTCCTGAGCCTTGTCCTCGACAAGCAATGTAAGCCATGCCCTCGGGCAAGCACTCTAAGCCTTGTCCTCGACAAGCAATGTAAGCCTTGCCCTCGGGCAAGCACTCTAGGTCTTGTCCTCGACAAGCAATATAAGCCTTGCCCTCGAGCGAGCACTCCTAAGCCTTGTCCCCGACAAGCAAATGTAAGCCTTACCCTCGAGTAGGCACTCCAAAGCCTTGTCCTCGACAAGCAATATAAAACATGCCCTCGACAAGTAAAAGCCTTGCCTTTAGGCAAGGTAAACAATCCTCGATATAGTAAAAATTTGAAAACACGAGGATTACATTAAAGTTCCTCAAAACTCATCGTCGTTACCAAGATTTATTGCATGCCATCGATATTAATATTCGTAAAGCATAGTACGTATGAGTATAAGGCGTAGTCTATTTATACGGTCGCTATGAATGTTCGTAAATCATGATCGTCGATATTAATAATCGGCATAAATATCTAATATTGAATCGTCGAGTATAAATCATCCGACATCATTTATGAGGTCGTCGATATTAAAATTCGCAATATCCTAAATCATTATCCAGGATATTCGTCGAGCATATTTATAATTGAGAAACAGCAGAGATTAGCTCAAGTAAAAGCTCAGGCAAAATAATATCGAACACGCAGATTGTTAATAGTGCTTGATAAAAAGTGAAGCATGTTTAAACATGTTTTTACAAAAAACTGCTCAATATAAACTGGCGACAAAAACATGTTTTACAAATGTTGCTCGATTAAAGACAAATTACATCTAGACCCCGGGGCTCTCCTGATCATCCTCGAGGTCATCATCAAGGTCGACCCCTTCATCGTCAAGGGTACCCTCTTCTGACTCCGAAAGCTCGAGGTCTCCAGCAATCTTCGAGATTGCCTTCAGCTCCTCAGGCTTAGCATCAGGCTTTGACCGAAGAAATGCTCGAGCCTCCTTAAGGCCATGGAAATATGAGCCCATTGAATAATCGCCCTTTAGCCTGTTGAAGTCCTCGAACTTCTGGAATTCCTCGACAGCTTCGGCCCAAGCTTCTGCCAACCTGCCCTCGAGGTTTTTCTTCACCCTCTCGAGCTCCATCTTCAATTCTTCTGCCTCATCTTTCGCGAGGCTTATTTCATCACGAGCCTTTCGAAGCTCGATCTTCGCCATGTCACGCTCAGTTGTCTCGGGCTTCCACTGCCTCTTGGTGCTCGATCACCTTTCGGGAGTCGTCCATCCCCTTGAGCAAGCCACCTCGAGCTATACTCAAAGCCTGGAAACACATTCACCATGAGCTATGACCTCGATATAAAAAAAACCTTAAATTTTATAACCATCATAGTTCACCTGGAATATAAGAGACTCGAGGTCCTTGCCGGCCTCTTCATACCCGAGCCTTTGTCGGTACTTGTCTACAAAGCCCGACATCAAATGTGATTGTCCAACGTTCTCGACGTTTTCAGTACTCGGGGTCACGTTATCCTCGTCGAGATCCACTACTGTGTGCTCCCGGGGAGAAGGAAGAGCTTGAGATGGTATAGCTCGAGGAGTGTTGCCTCCAGGCGACGTGCTTCTGTGACTCGAGGAATCTCCTGCCCCGCTTCTTTTTTGTTCTGGCCTAGACGCTCGAGGCCTCTTTTTCTCCCTTTTCTGCCCCGAAGTTCGAATTTGAGGGGCCCTCGACTTGAACTGCACGGACTGTCGCAAAGCAGTTGGATCGAAAGTCATTGCTGCAAAACATCGACGATGTATTAAAAACGAGCATATAAATAAGCAAAAAATTAAGAGAAAAGTTACATGTCCTACCCTCGACGCCTTTAATGTCTGCACGATCGAGAACGTCATCCCCGAGGATGTCGTCCATATCAAACACCAGAGGCTCGAGATTTTCTAACATCTGCCCGTCCCTCTCTAGACACTCAAAGTATGCCTGACCCTCACAAAACCTCGACGTATCTGGAAAACCCCATCGAGATTTGAATGGAAGGTCGATATCCTGAGGAATCACGTAGAACCATTTCTCTTTCCACCCTTTTAAGGAGCTCGGCATCTTCGGGATTCTAAAACCTCCCCAGGTAGAAAGGTAGGCAAAACATGTATACTGGGGCAACTGTTTAAGGTCGAAGACCATTCTACATAGGTCGAGATATGGTGTAATGCCCAGGTATCTACAGGCGATGAAGAAATAGGCGAGCATCCTCCATCCATTTGGCACTAATTGGCCCGGGCTCCTGTTATGCTCAACCAGTAAAGACATAAAAAACGGATGTAGAGGCCACCTAAACCCCCCTTTTAAAGAATCCCTGAAAATCACAAACGCCCCATCCCGAGCTATAGCCATCCTATCCCCTACCCCGGGCACTTGAATGTCACAGCTCGACATTATGCCATGTTCTCTAGCCGTCGATATGGCCAGGTGCTCCTTAAGGGTACAAGGTTGGTTAGGATATGCTAAAAGTGTCGAGTTATCTTCTGCTCAAGGTTGTGCATAAATAGGGATGGCTATAGGAATTATCGACCTACCTAAACTCTCTGGGGTTGTCCTCAACCCAGAGGATGACGACGAGTTAGACTCACTAGACATCCTACCGGAAGTGTTCTTAAAAAATAAAGCTTAAGTTCTCGATCTCTTACCTTAATATTGACAACCCAAAACCCACAAAATGCCCAAGCTCGAGGATTCTGAAAAAATTCACAGAGAAGTAAAAAGGTAACAAATGGAAAATGACGGGGGTATTTATAGACTCCAGTGGGAAACCCAAGGGTCGTCCGGCTTGGACCGTTTGATCTGGACACGTGTCACTCATCGGGGCCACCAAAGTTAAACCGCCTTTCACTTTAGGGCTGATGTCATCTCTGTACTGGACCTCGGGTTTCTTCACATGTGGGCTATTTCCACCTGTGCATCCCACACTCGAACCTCGAACATTGATGTACGGGGGCCAGTGATATGATCCATCTATTTACCTCGACCTCATATTTCCCGATGACTCCCAACTTAGTCTTCAAAAATATATTCGTCGGGTATGATGGGGAACATCCCGAGGATTTGGAAAATATCCTCGACTTCTCTCCTAATCATACCATGACGTCGGGCATTTGAGTCCTCGATATTCAATGTCCTCATCCTTTTTTCTTCAACGATACCACATCCTCCTACGAACAGTGACATGTAACACTTGATACCCCACAAGACTTCTACATACAAGAGGAGTTTATTGTTGTTAGACTTGCACTGATCCCACACTTGTTATGCATGTCAAATATCCACCTCCGATAGGACTCTATGAGATAAAGATTCCCCAATTGTTCAATCCTAATTGGATTCAACCACCTAACACTATAAATACATGGTTTCACCTCATCATTCAGGTACTCTTTTTTATGCAATATTCAGTCCATAGCCTCACACACATATTCTAACTTAAGTATCGGAGGGGCGACGAAGACACACCTCGGCGCCTTTGTTTCAGGTACTGGAAAAACACGTTCGTGCT